AAAAATAAAATAAAACATTTTTTTTAATTATACAAATCAAGAAAAAAACCATTTTTTCGGTTTTTCATTGAAACATTTTCTTTTCAATAATATTTTTACAGTGAGTCGTTTAAGTAACTAGAGTAATACTCTAATAGCTAAAGTATTTTGTTAAGTATATTGGAAATATTGGTGGCATATTCGTGGCATATTCGTATATATTTGTTTATATTCTTTTTTGAAGTTGTTTCGCAATCTCCCCCTAGACTTTGTAAAGATTTGACCACATATGGGACACTGAAACTTGGCCAAAAAGGTGAATGAGAAAAATATCAATTCTAAAGTATTTTCCATGCTGATTCTGAATTTCGGAGTTTCAGGTCAAAAAATCACACCTCGTGGGTATTTGACCCCCCGACCCTCTCAAGGGGTAAAAGGACTTGGAGGGCAGGGGTCCTTAAAAATTTCTCTCGTCTTTTTGAACAACTTTGTAGTACATTATTTTTTGATCCGATGAACTTTTGAAAAATTTGGGGCACCCCCATCCCCCCCTGGGGAAAAATTCAAAATTCTGCTCCGATGGAAAATTTCTATTTTTTACCCCCAACATACCCCCAAAAGGTTTTTCAAAATTCCCACCCCCTGGAAAACCCTATTATATGCGCCACCCTGTATAGTACGCAATATAGGATTCAAAATAAAAGAAATCGATTTTTTTTTTAAAGAGGTCAATTTTGAGAGGAAGACCATCTTATATTGAGAGATATGCACAATAGAAGTATGCTATTTAGAAAGGGCTGTCAAATGACAACATATACTCTTGCTCAAAATGCAATTTTGACCAAAAAATTCGACTAATACGATATCACTGAATTCTTAATGATAAGATTAATAAATTGAAAAATATATTGTATGAATGTAATCACAATGTTGGGAAATCTACCAACAGAATGCAGAGTAGTGATATTTTGGCTATGTCGCATTACTCGAATTTCATGAAATAAAATACACTTGAAATAATGTTATTCGTGCAACTGACTAATTGAAATTTAATTATTTTCGTATAAGAAAAAATGGGATTTAGATTAAACCAGACATTATCCCGTGCTTTATCTGGAATTCAAAGATCAATATCAACAGTTATTTTGAACACGATAATGGAAAACCCAATTTTTTATATGCATAAAATGGAACTTTAACTCGCAATATTATGAAAACCACCACTCACCATTGAGTAAATTAGCCTCGTTTACTGCATCTTCCAAATCTTTATAATATTCTGGGGGTATAGGTGGTGGGGCATCAAATGTAGGTGGCGTAACTGCTTCAGGTGACTCCATATCCGGTTCAGTCAGTGGTTCTCCATTTTGATCACATTCCTCAACAACTAAAGAAGGGAAATTTCCAAATGTTCCATTCAACTCGCCCTCCCACCAACCGTCGTCCACACCATGCGGTGATTTATTTATTATCGTTATTATTTGGTTTTCTTCGAATGTTAATTCATCGTCAGCAGAAGCATCGTAATCATAGAGTGCAATGCAGTATTCTTTCGATAGTGCTTCAGTTTGAACTGGCACGGCTATAACGCTTACTTGGTCGGGAGATTGAACATCAGGCTCTTCACATTCGACAGTATAATCAACTGATGAGAATGAGATTTGTGTACTTAATGCTTGATTGGCATTAGCATCAATTGAGAGATCTCGTTCAACATCCAAATAATTATGTGGAACATAACCTTCTTCACCACGATAATTTCTTGCCCGAAGCCAACCATCCCCATCCCCATCTCCAATCACTTCAAGTTGCTCATTTTCAACAATTGTCAACTCGTCAGGATTTTGAGCATTGTATGAATACAGAGCTATACACTTGAATATTTGTTCAGCAGTTGGTTGCACAGCCGTTGAAACCGATGTAGTTGAATTTGGAATTATTTGTTCAACGTCTTTGGTTGAATCTGCAGCACCCCAATCAACCGCCGTTGGATCATCCCAATTTGCAAACTCCTCTATTTGAGGTTCTGGTTGTTCGGGCGCAGAATAGTTTTCTTCCGAATCGGCAATGGAACTATCGTCATCATCATCTGTAAAGATATAAGATTATTAGGAATAACATTCTCTAATTTTTATTCTGCATATATTATATGTGATATAATTAGACTTCTCATCGGCATTTTTCCAAAAACCTGATTTAAAAAATTTACAATTTTATTTACATTTTCAGACTTCTGTTGCAGATACAGATTTACATTTTGCAGTAACACATTACAATTGTAACGAAGCATTACTGTAATGCTATTACAATTGTAATGTTAGATTTTAGCATTACCAGTAATAGTTATTGCTATTCTTATAACATTACTGGCAATGCTTCGTTACAATAATAATGTGTTACTCAACGCTGTCGCTAATGTCAAAAATCTAACATTAATATTGAGACTTTTCAACACAACTTTAAGTTGGAAATATATTTACAATAGATGGCGTCTGTGTTTTATAGCCATTTTTCGAAAATTTAGTGCTGAAACGTAAGGTTAAATCTCCATAACTTGCCCCATCATCAACCAAATATTGTTGAAATCGATAGAATTCGTTGAGAACTATCGGATTAAAGATAAAACTGTACTTTACAAGCAGAACTGCAGTATAGAAATAGCAAATGACAATCTCAGCACATCACCCATAGTGATTCACACGGAGAGTTTGTATGCTATTAAAGCATTAAACGACTTCAAAGTGGACACCAAACTTGTGTTAGACTGTATTACATTACTAACGCAGATAGCGCAACGTAAGGAAGTAACCCTAAAATGGATTTCACCTCAAACCCAAACTCAGGGACAAATGAGGGCGGCCATTTTAGCCAAAAAAGGTGCTTCGCAAAGAGCATATGGTCCCGAACCCTTTCTTCCTTGGAACGAAAGGAAATGTAGGAACATATGTAACAAATGGTTACAGGAAAGTATTATCATACGATGGCGTAACACAAATACATGCTCAACAACTAGAAGTTTTCTAACGACACCTAGTAAAAAGATTGCATCACAACTACTTAGTTTAAGTAAAATAAAACTAAGTTATACCATAGGTATCCTAACAGGTCATATTAGACTGAATGCACACTTGAAGCGCATTGGAGTTAGGGATGATCCAGATTGTGACCTTTGCGGAAGAAATGAGGAAACCTCAATTCATTTCCTGTGCACATGTACATGTACACAACTAGATCGTACCAGAGTTACTATTTTTGGTAAGGGGACGATCAATCCAGAGGAAGTCTTAAAATTTGATATTTCAAAAATTTTTAGCTTCATCAAAGAGTCGGGTAGATTCTCTCAACTGAGGGACACCCCCACTTTACTAAATAACGATAGACAAGTTACAGGGAACGATACTTTTAATGTAACACAACCCACGTAATAGTGTCGCAACATTAAACCTATGGATGATTTTATTATCAATCGGTAGGAACGAGCTGTTTTACTCTTTCTCCACGGGTAGCTTTGCAATAGGTCCTTGACCTTCGCGACGAGATTTTCTCTTTTGAGTCTTTCTCCCCACTATAATCCATACATCCATTACAAGCAGAAAAAACCACAATAATGGCTCACTTCTTAAAAAATAGCATTTCCATCAAAAAATCTTTTTAACCCCACAAAAGGACACCAAATTAATTATTTCTCATCTAGTTTTGGACGTATGTTATAGGCGAAGGTCCAAAATACTTGAAACGAGCAACAATTGGTTGGATGGATTGAGAGAAACTTGAAACTTGATAGAAATCGACAAATCGGTCTGCCAAAGCATGATTTTGAAGGTTCGACACACACAAAGACAATGGTCCGTTCAGTGTAATGCAAATGTGCTATTCAATAGCCCATGAATAAAGGTTTATACCAATAAAAAAGAATTTAATATTGTATGTTTGTTGTTCAAATGGTGAACGTCTGAATTTAGTCTAAAGACTTTCTATACATACGTTACCTCCCATACAAAATTTTCGATTTTTGGCTCCCCTGATTTTTTTGATTAGAGGTACACCTGATTTTTTTCTGATTACGTTTCCGAAAACTACTGGCTTAGATATAATAATTACCTCCTTGCGTTTGTGTTATAGGTTTCGTTGTAGTTTGCGGAGCTGGTGATGCTTCTGCTTCAGTGTTATCACTATCGTAGAATGAATCTGAGCTAGCATGTTCACCATGTCCTGATGCATCAGTTCGCATTGATAGAGAACTTGACGATCGTGGTAGTTCCTGTATACCTAATGTTTCAGCTTCTTCTAAAAAACATTATGAAAAAATATTTTTTTTAATTTTTTAAATGAATTATAATTACCAATCCATTCATCAACATTAACACCACCGATGCGTAGACATTCCAAACATGCTTCTGATTTTGCCTTTTCAGTTTCTGATTTACGAATTTTCTCACGAAATTCTTCAATTTTAGTTTCTAAATCGGGACCATTTGAATCATTGGGATCAGTGCGCTGTCCAGAATCGCGCAATTGTTGGCAAACAGTAAGTTTTCGAGCATTATCTCGAATTGAATTATTCTCACGAACAATTTTTGATGCAAATAACTTTGCTTCACGACTTAATGTTGCTGCAGCTGAGTCGTGTTCTGCTGTTATTTTTCTGACTGGATCATTATCGCAGGCTTCAAAATCATAGTGAATGTGTTGCTTCAGTACTGGATACAATAAATATAAGCACTGTACATTGTAATCTCGGGTTAATTGATGAGCTTGATCGCGAATTTTAGTAAATGAATGTTGAGTTGCGGAACATGTTAGAAGTTCAGTTCGACCCATCAATGTTAAATAATCGGCGATACGCTCAAAAACATAATTTTCCATCGTAGTCATTGTAGTTTGTAAATCAACCGTAAAATAGCGATTTTGATGCGCATTTGCTTGTGCCAAACTCAAAAGATAATCGTTTCGGGCACCTGTTGATTTCTCTTCCAGTTCCTCCTTGCGTGACGTGACTCGTGCACTATTCTTCTGTAGTGATGTGATCGACTGGAAAAATGAACCTTTTTTCTTTTTGAGCTTTTCTTCAATATCACGAGCTTTGTCGCGAACTCCATGGGCGCTGTGTTCCTCATCGAAATATGACTTCTTTGTGATATCTATTTTTTGTACAGTAGTTTGCAGTTCCTTTTGAATATTTCCTAGTTGATTTAAGCATTTTTTACTAATTTGGATTTTATATTCTCGAAGACCTTTCGCTTCATCGGCGATTTGTTGTTGAAAGACCTCAATCGCAGCCAACCGAGCCTTTGCAAGCTTTTCATTCTCTTCTAGAACTGTCTGCCATACACTCCACATATTCCTTTGGTTTCACATGTACATAAATAAAACAGAATTCTCTTTACCAAACATGAAAACTGGGTTTCAAAGAAGACAATTCAAAGCTTTGATTAGGAAAAAAGTACATCTTCTCATAAAAAAGTGTTTATACCACTCCATGTTTTATAAGCATTTATGTAAATTCTTCCAACTCATGTCATCTCACTTCATCTCACATGATATTATAGAGTAAACTTCATTTCTCAATGAGAGTGAGATGAAATGATTTGTCTCCAATTACCATTTTTCGGTACCATCCAGCTTAATTTCGGGAATGCACACCATCTTCTTGTTTAAGTATAATGATGATATTTTCAACAATGATTCACTATACGTTTTTTCAATGGCAGACCTCTTAATTGTGAATTGTCTAATGTCTTCAAGTAGTTCACATTCATGTTGGTTCTTCAATTGAAGCTTAGCAAGCTGTTCAGAGTGTAGGCCCTTTAAGTATTTGCCGTAATTTCCCTATTTGTAGTTCAAAAATTTAAACGAATATTAGGTTCAAATAAATTTTTCGTAGTTATCAATTAAAAACTTTTTACCACAGATAATTTTTCAAAGTTTCAAATAAATAATAATAATGACTGTACAGCGTTCCTTCGCCTGGTGTATTATTTAAATAAATAAATATAGTATATATACATTTTTTAAATTCCTTTCAGAAATTGAAAAATCAAATTAGTAAATTTTCCTACAATTATTGTTAATTTTTGCAGTCTATCTCGTTCTCATCAATTACTTAATTACTCGATATTAATATGTCAATCTATATAGTATTGAACTCTAAAAGGTAAATATTTTTTCAGAAGATGAATGAAATTATATTGCAACGATTTGAATGCGTTGATCATTTGTTTTTTATTTAAAAAAAAAAAAGTTAAGTCTATTTCTATAGAAGAATCTGTATAAATTCAAAATGAAAAATAAAATGAAAATCGATAATATACAAGTTAGGAACACAAAAGTTGAACAATTATAATAAAAAATAGTAGGAAAAAAAACAAAATGTTCAAGACATTAATTTAAAAAAATCGACAATTATAGTCTAATTCTTCTTCTTCATAATATAATCAACATCTAATACTTACTTTTCTTGGTGGTGGCTGCATTTTGTACGTTAGTTATGGTACTTTTCAATTGTTTTTGTTAAGAATGGTGATTAATTTTTTTTTTAATTCAGTGTCATCAACAATTATTATATGTTACATTCATACACTACTTGTAGTACGATATCCAATCGTTTATTTTGTCGATTTCTTCGATGTTTATTGTATTATATCACACGTAAACCACACGAACTTCAATATCCGTTTTTATCAATTTGGGTGCTCTCCATTCTTATTTCGTTTATAGTTTATGCTTCTTTTGTAAAAATTACGAATCAAAATTTATGGAACAAACAAAATGAATACAACTTTTATTTTCTATAAAGAGAATTTCGAAACAAATGCCTTTAAAATCCAATAAGTTAGATGAATTTTTACTATCTGAAGTTTTTTACTATTTCGATTTGTTCGACGCACTCAATTTCTGTCGAGTTGAAAAACCAGTATACATTTTCGTTCCCCTTCTGTTTCAAAGTACCACCAAGAAAATTGATTTGTTGTACGTGTTGTGCGCTTTTGGTTGAGCGCATCGGTACATACAAAAGGTTATAGCTCGAATGACAAGGACAGCGATGAATCTGTTATGCGAGTATATAGATTGAGGAGTGAGTGAGACGTCGCAAAGTTTACGGGGAAAATGTGTGACTTTCCCAAATATATGTGTTGAAGCTTTTTTCCACCCCAACATGAGGAAAAATATGTTTTTAAAAATATCAAGAAACCGTTTTGTTTTGCAAAAAACTTCAATCTTTAACAATTGAGTGAAAATGTATCTTTGGTTTAATTAGAAAAATTATGTGGAGAATATTCTCTATATGTAAATAAATAAATAAATAAATAATAATTTTGGAAAAAAATAAAATAGCAAGAGTTGGACTGAAGAGTAAGTAAAGTAAATTTTATATTTAAATAAAGTCAACATATGAATGTCAAATATTCGAGCGTTCTCTTCAAATTGAATTTAGCGTGCCCTCCGTACTACCCTTGTACTGTTGCTAGGAACATACAACAAGGCTACAAAATTTATGTAACACACATTGTATCAAGCCTAGCTAAGCTAAATATTTATTTATTTAGTTATCACAAAATTTATAATAACGTTCACAATGAAACACTACCCGAACGAATATTCAACCACCTGCCTTTTCGACTTCGGAGCAGCAGATTTCGATTGTGTTCATTGTATAATGACTATTGTCTGAGTACATTTTTCAAAAATTTATCAATTTTGTCTAATTTAACAACATTATTTCTAATAATGTGTCTTGATGCCGATTCTAAAAATTTTCATTTTTCTTCCAATAAAATCTAAGCGTGTTTGTCCATTTATAAGCGCCATCTATTGCAAACTTGTACTATTTTAGTAATGAGGGACTGGCGCTGATGTCAAGTCGCTCCCATGATCAATGCCAATAACGCAATGGGAGGAAATGACAGCAAATTTTCAAATTGTTGCGGTGTTTAGTTTCGATTTGAGTCTCTCAAATAGACTTGAATTCTTCACATCCTCTCATTTTAATAACGTATTTCTTATCAAAAAGATTGTCCGGCTGTGAATGCAAATTTTCGTTCCACGTTCGGTCTGGTTTGGTGTACAGAACCGATACGGTAACAGTATCGGTCATTATTTGATGATTGAATTGTTTGGATCGTTTGCCCAATTGATTTTATCGGGTAGCTTCACAGAACGCGGAAAAATAAATGCAGAAATCAAAAATGCAGAAAAATAAACGCAGAAAGCCAAAAATGCAGAAAAAAGCTAAAAAATGTAAAATAGATAGATAAACCGTGATGGTTTTTCTTAATAGCAGTGTTAAATGTTGTTTCACTGAGACATTTTTAGGGCCCCTTTCCTCTAAGTACTTCCACCCCTTAAGGGGGTCGAGGGGTCAAAAGCCCTCAAGGTGTGATTTTTTTGACCCGAAACTCCGAAATTCTGAATCAGTGAGATCAGAGAGTTTCATATAAACTTCCCATTTAAAACCTATTGAATAATGACCGAATGCCAAACGTGATTTAGATGACAAGGAATGCGAGTTTTTTCATTCTAATTTCACCAGATGATCAGAACGTAAAAATTTGTCATCTCTGTCACTCAAATCGTTGTCCAATGCTATCTCACATTTTATTCTCTTTATATCGTACACACAGTTTAGAGTAAGATTGTGTGCCTGCCTAGGGGCAGAGCAGTACTAGAATAATCAGTTTTGTTAAAAGTAATTCTATGTTGTGAGTAGTAATCCATATTAATCCATAGTAATACACACTTACCTAAATTCTAACAGCAGTGCAATGACGTTTCATGTGTACGTTGCGTATGACATTTTCTAGGCATTGCTAGGCATAAAACGATCGCTGTATATTTCGGATGAGACATTTTATTGTTAAAAAATGGAAAATATCGAATTTAATTTAATTAATATCGAATAAATTGTTTCAATCCGCAATATACGAAGATCGCTTGTTAACAAAATATTGTCACGCTTTGATATGCAACCCTTTTGAGTCGCGTTTCGATATGCGACCAAACAATAAGCCGTTTTTATTCTGGAGCGTTCAGTTATAAACTGCCGAAATACGAACATAGACTACTGTTTTTACAAATGATTACTCTTGAGGAGAGACGCAAGATGGCGCAGGTGTCTTTCATCTTTAAAAATTTTCACGGAGATATGAAGTCAACCTATGAAATATTATGATTTAGTGCATAATACACGTGCAACACCGTTATTTAATTTGCCAATTAGAAGGACTGATTACACAAAATATGATCCAATAAATTTTATGCTATCTTCATTCAACGATTTATATACCAGAAAAATTCCAAATAGTTATACTAATTTAATTGATATAGAAGTAAATTTATCTACAGTAAAACTGAGAATTGAAAATTATTTAAAACAAAATAGATAAATTCAAAAATATTTATACATTAGAGATAAAAATTATATAGATTATTTCATATTTATATTACTTTGAATAAACCACCAAGGCGGAGGAACGCTGTTCGTTATTATTATTAAATGTGCAAAAGACCGAATCAATTCAAAAACAACTTCTACTATTAGCATTAAGAAAAATGTTCTGGAATAACTACAGACTACCAAAATATGAACAGCAAGAAAGCGCGTTTGTCTTTCATCTTCAAAATTATACGCGGTGATATCAAATCAACACTTATATCGAACAGTATGAGCTATTACGTTTCGGAACATAATACCAGTGCAATACCGCTTTTTGATGTACCAATTAGAAGGAACTATTACACTAAATATGATCTGATAAATTATACCTATACAATATTAAACGATTTTTACGCAAAAAAACCAAACAGTGATATTAATTGAATTAATTAAGAAGTAAATTTACTAAAAATTGAAAATTATTTAAAGCAAAATAGATCAAATCATAGAACAATTGAATCTCTGAGAATGAAAGTGAGACTTCTCCTCAGAATATAGAAATGTGTATCAAATCTTGAAGATTTTATTGAATTGAGTACCAACGGAATTTTTTTTGAAATGAAACACGGCGTGTTATACTTCAATAAATTTTGTTTTGGTATTACATTTTGAAAATTTCTTGCCGTGTGTATCACTTTAAAATGCTTTTTTACGATGTTCCCAATGAAAAAAATTGGTTTTGATGTTTTGATGTCAACATTATAAGGCTATTCAATAGGTATCATATGGCAAACGCCAAATATATACGGACCTACGGCAGTGCCATTTCAGCGGTCTTCCGTGTTTTTCATACAAGCCACCCATGTAAATGGTAAAAAATCGTGAAAAATGAAAAAAATAATTTTTTTTTCTTCAATTCTCAAATACTACTCAACTTTCTGTATCACCTGGTGAGATCAGAATGAAAAAAATCGCATTCCATATCATCCAAATCACGTGATTCACGGTCTGAATTTTTTTCACTTTGGGAGTGCTCTATATCGAATCTCCGAGAGTTTGATATAAACTTGCCAACCTATTGAATAACCTTATATGTTGACATTTGATTAACATTCCAATTCATGTTGAAGATTTTTCATGACTTTTCTGATCGATCTTATAAAAAGCGTAATTTTTTTTTTTAACTCGTAACATCAAAACCAACTTTTTCTATTCGTAACATCAAAATCAATTTTTTTTATTGGTAACATCGTAAAAAAGCATTTTAAGTTGATACACACGGCAAAAAAAATTCAAATGTAATACCAAAACAAAATTCATTGAAGTGTAACACGCCGTGTTTCATTTCAATAAAATTTGTGTTGGTACTACAATTCAATAAAATCTTTAAGATTTGTTACACATTTCTATGTTCTGAGGAGAAGTCTCACTTTCATTCTCGTACATTCAATTATTTAAAAAAAAAACGAAATAATTACTCTAAATTATATACCTTTTAAATCTTACATTTGTAAATTAATTTTTATTTTGAAATTGGAACAAATAAAATGAATCTCTCTCAAAATTTATTGACGAAAAATAATTGAATATTATTATATTATATATTTATTTATTAAATTGTGCATATTATTCAGAGTATTGCGCAGCGCTGCTGCCATCCACAGCATATTAAAATATATTGCTGAGAATGCGTCGTCCGTCGCATGCGAAGGTACGTACTTTTCACATCACAGCGAACAACAATACATGCATTTTTCTCTATAAAATCGTTTGAATGTTTTGAACTGCTACGTACATTCGCATGTGACGGACGACGCATTCTCAGCAAGATATTTTAATATGCTGTGGATGGCAGCAGCGCTGAGCAATACTCTGATATTATTATTTTTATTGTTAGGAGATATTTTCAGCGTAATCTATGGTTTGCTTTAAAAAACTTATGAAAGAATTCATACATCATATAATTTTGAAGTGTTGTAAGCTCGTCCCGAGCTAGAGAGTTACTTGCTATCTGAATTATTCTTACTGTTTGAATTTTTCTTAAAGATGGTCGAAATTATATTGTTTTCAAAACTTAGATATAAAAACAATCAAAATGTCATGGGACTAGGTGATAAATTATTTTTATTTTTAATTACAAATTCAAAAACATTGTTGAAAATATCCCAAGAAATTTAATGTGATTTTTTATCTTCTAATTAAGTTTATTTTTTGTTCCTTTTATCTTTTAATTCATCTTTTTTAATAAATGTTCTAAGGTTCTAAATCTATGTTCAGAATACCACCAATAACACCATCTTCAATAACGCCATCAACATATTGACGTGGAATGGGATCTGGTTGCATGAGTTGCACTTGAGGCAATGAATTAACACCTAAATACAAAACATAAAACAGAGTATCGTTAACCGCAGAAAAAAAATGAAAAGATTGGTAATAAAAACAGTTAAAGGTTGTATTTTATCAATCAAGGAGTGAACGTTTCTACATTAAAATCTCTTTTAAAAATACAATATTATCAAAAAATATTTGACTGATTTTAAAAACTAATTATCGGAATTTAGCAATAAACTAATAATACAAATGTATAAAAAAAACTCAAGAATTTCTAATGAATTAAGATAATATATAGAATTCCATGAAAAATAAGTATGAAAATAAAATTACTATGAAGATTACTCAACTCCAATATCACAAAATCAAGCAAATTGAGTTATTGGCGTACAATTTTAAATACAAAAGGTAGGGAGATGAAATCTTTTTTTCAGGCTGTGTGTTTTGTATAATTTCAGCAGGCACTGCTATTTCTAGCACGATAGCTATGCTCTGCCTAAGTTTGACGCATTGCATACCGCATTGAAATCGATGCCTGCTTACAGTGTGTGTTCATTACGCGGCAATAGCGATACCGTGTATTACGCAGCATTCATGCATGTGTATTGATGGTTTACGGTGTCGCTATTGCCGCGTAACGAACACACACTGCTTACAGCAGTCACCGATTTCAATGCGGTATGCAATGCGTCAAACTTAGGCAGAGCATAGCTATCGTGCTAGAAATAGCAGTGTCTGCTGAAATTATACAGAACACACAGCCTGCTCTTTTTCGAAAGTGGCCAGACTAAGCAAAAACTGAAAGAACCTAAGAATCGGACAATATACGTTATTTTTTATGAAAAGAAGACGTTTCGGTAAGAATTTCTTACATTTTTTGAAGAGGCCAAACATTTTGCTTTAATACTCTTTACTTGAATAATACGAAAAAAATTCCCATCATCGTACAATCTATTCCAGTATACAGTGTTCTTATCTTAAGCCATGACTTATACTTACAACAGTTTGAAGAAATAACTGAAAATACAACTAAAAAACAACATTCCATGAAAACTGTAACAACTGTTCGTAAAGTGGACTTTCCCGTGATTGCTCAAATTTCGGAAACATTCGGGATGAGTAAAGAATTGGAGATAGATTTAGCACAATCACAAATTGTTTTGTTTTGTTTCACATATATATTGGCTTATAACAACACCGTAAGTGAATACTGAAAACTAATTTCGGAACTAGACTTATATTACATACGTTAGCCACTCTCCTATTATTAAGCGTCAGATTTTTTCGGTTAAATTTCGTGAAAATTTAAGGGTAATTTTATCAAAAATGGACAGCAAAATTAGTGGTGAAAAAAAAACTCGGTAGAATCTAGTGCACATTTTTGCTAAAAACAACTAGAATATATGCAATAATTAAAAAAAATTATATAATATTTAATATATTTTTTAATATTTTTATTTTTTTATTAATATTCTAATATTCTTTAAAATTAATTTTACTATCGATTTGAAATTACTTGAATGTTTTCAATCCTTTTACTGAAAATCGATTTTGTAATTTTCTCTCGAATCCAGGCCCAAGACTGAACCAAATGGATTACAAATTGAAATCTAAACATGCATGTGAACGTCATTGTCCAAAAGTAATTAAAGATTTAAAAAATTCTACGCCATAGCTCATTTAATTCAACACGATGAAAATATATTTCAAAGTATGAGTTGCAGTAAATGTTTGATTTTGTGATCTTATCTCGGTACAATTTTATATCATAACAGTTCTTTATGAGTGGAGACAATAGTAATTAAACGATACATAACTACAACTTGAGTTTACAAATTAATCAAACTAAAGTGCGGTAAGGATTTTTGTTACTTTTAATAAGAAGAACGATATGTTTTACCAGCATCCAATGGAATCGGAAGATCGGCGGTAGCTTCGGCCAAATTTGTAACTGATTTCGATTTGACACATTGAAAATCTACATGACGACTCTTAGCTTCTTCTTTTTCCCATGACATGTGCAGGAATGGACGTTGAACATAGTTATAAATTACCTAAATGGAATACATTTTTTAGTGAACTCAATATGACTACAACAAAATTTAGATATGACTTACTTCTGCTCGTCCACCTGGTCGCTTTTTTATTTTTTCAATATGTGTCGGATAACTCTCAATGCCTAAACGAATTTTCTTAAGCGAACGTTCTTTCATTACTTGTTTAGCAACGTCGCGATTTTCAATATATTTAAAAAATCGATACATGGCAGTACTTGCAACCGTTTGACTATATTCTTCACCCATTTCAGGTGGATATTCTTTGTCCCAATCAACTACATCATCGTCAAGTAAGTTAACTACATGACATTCACGATCTCCTCGTTCAGCTGATGCCACCATAACTGGAAGAATAAGTTCTTCTAAAAACACTTCAAATTGACATCGCGCACCCTCATTACTGAGCTCGTGCAAAAGACCACCTATATGAAAATATTTTAAATATTTCGAAAGAAATTAACAAAACATAGCTAAGCATTGCGAAGACGTCTACAACTTTAAACACAACTTGATGTATCATACGTGTGTACGACAATGTCTTTAAAATACAACTAAGATTTCGATGGCAAATTGGGCATAATAAACCACTTTTTGGTGTAATGCTTACACTCGGATTGGTGTTTTTCATACACCATCGGTGTTTTGAATACACTATCGGTGTATATGAAATACCACTATTTCGGTACATTAGAAACACTATTAGTACATGACTTGAACCAATTATGTTTTGCATGAATAAATTCAGATAATATAAAGGAAATTGAAAGTTACGTCATTGAAAATAAAAAACTTTCACAATTTTGACCCCCGCCCTTCGAATTGGGTCATTCAGGGCGACCAAAGCAACATGCCAATGGAAACTACATTGATATGCGTAACTTTCATGGGAAGAAATTTATTTGCCCAGTTGAGTCATAAGGGGTGAATATCCCATTGTGAAGTCACAATGAAATGGGGTATTTTCACTTTTCGACCCGAATTGAAGGTTCAAGTTAGATGGAGTTAATTGTAGGTTAAGACAGATTGACAATGTATGAAGGTAATTTTTACGAGGAATCCGAATATGTAATTAATTTTGGGGTTAGATGGGGTATAGACCCAATTTCGGGGTATTTTTCGAAATTTTCGTGAATTTTGTATGGGGACCCCCCTTGGGGGTGATGGGAGGATGTGGGCAATGACCTAAATGAAATGTGCGGATAAAATTAGTTACAGGTGGCCATACATTTGAGTGCGAAATTCCGCACACAAAAAGTGAAAAATCGACTTTTTATCATTTTTCCCTAATGGGGGGGCCTAGGGGACATTCATACTAGAAAAACTAGTGAAACTAGCAGAAACTAGCAGCGACTAGCAAGCACTAGCGTATTATAGTCCAAAGCAAATGAATTGAGGCATGTAAAATATATTGTAGCATGCGTAAGTCGCTTGCAAACGAACCAAGTGAATAGCGGAGACGCACGGAAACGAAGTGAGTGAATAGCGACAACGAACGTTGTTATCCGTTGCCGCATTATTTTTATATCCGACCAAATTTTGACATGGTGGGGTACTCCCAAGGGGCGAAGCAGTACTAGATTCAATTCTTTCAATTCCATTCAACTCCACTCAATTCTGATCAATTTCAAATTAAATTCTAGTCCGTGTGTATTTTAACTCATTTACTTCGGCAAATTTTAGGTATTACAAGGAGAGTTTCATATATAGTCGCCATGTAGCAGCAAAATGACACTTGCGTGTATTATTCGCCAAGTGTGATTTGGATGATAAAGAATGTGAATTTTTTGATTCTGATTGATCCAGGCGATACAAAAAATTGACCAGCATTTGAGAATTGAAAAAAATAATAGTAATATTTTTTTCGTTTTTCACGATTTTTCACTATCTGATGGGAGATTTATATGAAAAACACAGAGGACCGCTGAAATGGCAAATACAAAATATGTACGTACGTAAGACTTGGTCTTCCGTGTTTTTCATACGATGGTGAAATATTTTTTTTTCTTCAATTCTCAAATTCTGGTCAATTTTTTGTATCGCCTGGTTCAATCAGAATCAAAAATTCACATTCTTTATCATCCAAATCACACTTGACGCATAATCATAATACACGCAAGTGTCATTTTGCTGCTACATGGCAACTATATATGAAACTCTCCTTGTAATACCTAAAATTTGCAAAAGTAAATGAGTTAAAACACACGGACTAGAATTTAATTTGGATTTGAACAGAATTCAGTGGAATTGAATGGAATTGATAGAATTGAATCTAGTACTGCTTCGCCCCTTGGGTACTCCCCTGCCCCCAATATCTTGAAAGGGCCCCCCCAATTTTCACAGTCTTAGTTTTTCGGCACTTTATATCGATCTGTACTAAGGAAATTTAAAAATTTTATTAACACTTTGTGCACTTTACTGGTTAGAATTGATATTTTTCTCATCCTCCTTTTTTCAAGAATTAGTCATACACTAGATTGATACACCAAAAATTCGGAAAAATTTCGCAAATGCCGAAATATACAATACTTTTTGAAAAAAAAAAACAGTAATTTGTGCCCACTGGAAGTGTTATTTTATCCCCAGTAGCGTATAGTCAGCCAGCGTGAGATATTGTCTGGAAATTAATGACAAAACAAATGAAAACTTACGTAAATTCTGGCATCGAATGGTTTTTGCATCAAATGGTATTAAAAGATAGTCGCATGCTTCCCGCAATTCTTGAACAGATACCTGGGGGAGAAACACAAAAGAAAAGAATAGAATTATTTTAAAATAATCGACAAATAATCGAAAAGAATCAATAAGAATTGATAAATAAATAATAGAACAGATACCGTTGGAGGACATCTTATTACACCATGTTTGTAAAAATCTAGAATAACCCGAAACACTGAATTCGATATTCCTTCGGCAACCTCATATTCACCACGTTCATTTGTGTGCGTAAACTCCATTCCAGAACTAAACATTCGACCTAACATAGTGTTTGGATGAGCAGTGAATAATGCAGGATCGATTGTAAAACGCGTTTCATCAACTAATAGTGTGATCCGATTTTCCGTTGGTCCAATAGTTGCTGGTAAAGCTGATAACGATGTTGATGGAGACTGCACGCTGTTGCTCGTGGAAACAAATGAACAGTTTGGGTTCGAAACTGAAATGGAATTACTTGTGCTTGGCAACGGGGAACGGCGTGCTTGTTGCAGTTGTGATTTTGACGATAATCGTACGTTGTTTCTGTGAACATAAATATTTGTTGTATTGTATTGTATTTTTTCATCGCAAAGATTCGTTTCTAGAAAATCATTTCAAATAATATATCATATCGTGTGGTTAGGAGGAATTATTGATCAAAACAATGATAATATATAAATTAAGTTTGGACGTGGAATGTTGTATGATGTTTTGTTCGTACTTATATTTTAAAGAAATTGAGTAACTTAACTACACAATACACCTACCTGGACCTATTTTTAATTCTTCGACGACGATCTTCTATTTCATTGTAGTCTTCAGTATTACTGCTGCTACATGAACTATCATTATTTTTGTTTGCTATAGCATTGCTTGTACATATCTGTAATTTTAAAATTTGTAATTATTTTACTGTTAAGGTTGTTGAGGTAATTACTAAAAAAATAATAAAAATGTGAAAAAATAACAAAATTATTTTTCAATTAAAATAGTACCGAAGATGTCCCACTGGCAGTGGCGTTTGTGGATACACAATTATTTGCCGGGTTCGATGACATTTTTGCTGGTGATTGAAAAAAATAAACAACTTCCGAATTCTATAATCACGGTTGTTATTTTATATATAGGTCCAATATAACACTGTTACGTTTACTTCACTGATCACTTTAGAAAATCCTTATTTATTATTTTACATATTTATAAATTTATTATTTATTTTGGGTCAAATATTTATTTTCTGAATTAAAATAAAGAAAAATAAAATTTCTTCGTAATTATTTTAGTTTTAAAATATGTTTTGTAAATTAAAACCACATCAATTACTTATTACTGTAAAACATTCATCACATTTTTCTTCTTCTGCTTTTATTTCAGATAGATTCGAACAAAGCACATCCTGTTTATTTTTTTGGACTATATTTTTTACACAGTGTATAAAAACGAATTTCAGTGCTTCTTTAAGTTTAATTTATATGGAACCAGAAATATAAATATTCTGTTCAATTCCAAAATTACATTTTGTTAGTAGTAAGACCACTTTTTAAAATTGAAATAGATTAGGAAAGTATTGTCAATCTTCGAAACAAAACAAATGTAATGTTAAAATCCTACATTTTTTAGTTTAGCTTGACCTGAATATTGTGAAATAATAAAAATTGATGAACGAAAAAAGTAAAATTGACTTTTAGCTCTAATACATGCCTATGCTATTTACTATAAATGAATACTGTGAAAGTGCGACATTCGAACTGTAAGCTAAAACAGAAAAATGGTTCATAATCGAAAAAGACACATCCCGCATACCACTTCAAATACACACACTCTCTCTCTCTCTCTCTTTCTCTCTCTAACAAACACATTCGAACATCATAGACGATTGTATTAGTGCGCTCTTGTTTCTGTTTTTTTTTTCTGACAAGGAAGATACAAATGACATCTATGGAATTTATATATTTGACTTAGATCTATAATTCATTTATTTTTGGTATTGTTTTTTTTCTCAAGTCCCTATCGCTATGAAAAAAATGTTTTCGACAAAATAAAGCGAACATAAACACGAATAGGCCTCGCCAAATTATGATAAGAAATTAGAAAAAAATATGAATTATGTCCACATATTGTCTAGTTTTCTAGCTAGATCTAGATCACATCACAAAATAATAATGTTAAAATGTGCATCTAATGTAAACTTCCATTATTGCAAAAATATTAATTAATCTTTAAATTCTTCTACAACCACTTGAATTTATGAGAAATATCAATCCTATCCAACCATGTTTACTTAGTACTGAATTTAACAGCAGCGCCACACTACAACAATCATCAATCTGGATTTGTAGTGGGATTGTATCTAAAATGATGGGAAAAATACGTAAATAACAATAACATTTACTCATATGCACTACATATACATGTAGTCATATACGAAAACAAATGTTTTAATCGTATTATTATGAAAATTATAAATGGCATACTCTTTAAGAACATTTTTTACTCATTCAAACAATTTTTAATAAATAATAATTTTTTAAGATTTTTCAATATTATGCCCATATTATTAAATACATCGCAGCCATGAAAAAGAAGACAAATGAAAGGCCACGGAAATTGTGAAGCGCTCGCGCAGTAAAAAAATCCAATACATACGACATGAAACTTATAAACAGACGAATACATGGAAAGTTTGACGATCAAAAAGTAAGAAGAAGTCTACTAGTTCATCGCATATTCGATATAGGCGCAGTAAATAACATTATCAAAATTTCTTCTGAATAATAAAATCCAAATGAAAACATAGGAAAACAAACGGGTTAAAAGGAAACTGTGAATTGAAATTAAAACGATATAGTAATCAACAATATAAATCAACAACTATCATACAGAAAAGCTTAATAATTCAGCGATTATACCAAAAATCAAGAGACGATAAAACAAGCCAAATTTGTGTTGTTTTTTTTTTAAATACATAGAAACAATGTAGTGTTTTTGTTATACTGCCAATCGTTATTAGAACGTATGATGAGCCTATAGATGGAAAAGCAACAATACTTGGTAAGATGTTATGATGAAAAAATGTGTCAAGATTGAAATAAAAAAACAATTATAGGAAAAGTAAATTGTGGATCGATTTTCATTTTCAACAATGAATTTGTACTTGTATCAAAATTAACCGACACGATTTTAAAAGGTTTGAATTGACATGTGTAAATTTTACCTCGAAACGTAAATGTGGAAATTCTTTAAGAAACAATGAAAATCCTACAAGTTGGGTTTATTCCAAAAAAGAAGATGTTTTTTGGTATAAATTGATAGAACTCTTCTTTTGATATAAATAGATGTATTTTGGTGACTCCGTGTATTAATGTATGTCGTGTCAATAGAAAGATATTGATTGAAACATTTTATTCATTTATTTGAGATGCATAAATTTGTTTAAACATCAAGGTATTTGTTGGAAATGATTTTATTTGTGTATGTTTATCAATGCTTGTTAGGTAGAAATTGTGTGCGGCAAAACATCCTAAAACAAGTGACAGAAGCTTATATGAATAAACCATTTACGAAAACATAAAGATTTGCACAAAATGAGTTATTATAAACGAAGTAAACTCATATTCATTGGAATTTGTTTATGTGTATTTGTATGTGTTAGTGCAAACAAGCATTTGAGTGTAACGATGTTATGTATTTGTGTGTATTTCCTTTGTGTAATATTCAATGTGTGATCAAATGTGATCGAAAAATACATACGATCAAAAATAAATTGATACATTTTCTATAAAATTGCATTGAATCAATTTATAACATGGATTATTGAGGAAGAATTCATTTAAATTTTATTAAATGGTGCCAACATTTTATGAATCAAGTTTTGGCATGAGAATCAAAACGAAAGTTCCAATAACTAATTGGAAATAATAAAGAATAAAATAATGAATGTATATCCTATCAACAAATATGATATTAAATGAAGATTAAATTGCAAATTGAAAGTCGTAATCACTCTCATTCGACCAAATTTTCCCAAAAATAAGAACCGTTCATTTTTCTTTTTATTAGAATTCAATTTTCTTGTATTGAAAGTTAAGTCTTAAGTACGCTCTCAAACTCTCTATCAAATTCTCTTTTTCTTTCTTTCTCCTCCTCTTCTTCTCTGTTCGGTTCTCTGTTTCTCTACAGGAAAATTGTTCATGTTGATTTTGGTGTTGTCTGATGCATAATAAACAACTGAAGAACTTAAAAAACAAATAAGATCCAAATATTCGTCATCTTCGATTGATATTTAAATAAGAAAAATTGAACGAGAAGTCTTTTTTTGAAATGCAAAATATGGATTCAGATATTGTTAAAACTCTATCAACAAAGGAATATATTTATTTGGGTTTTTTAAAAGAAAGTAAAAATTTTAATGACTGATGTTATTATACTTGTTTCGGTAATATTGCTACTCAGGCACATGTGAACATTTATATATGTTCTGTGGCAATGTTTTTTTTTTCTTCTCTTCAGTTTAAAACATACAATAGAGGGAAAAATGTTTTCGTGTGTGCGCACAAAAGAAGTAACGTCTGTAGCGCCACCTTTTCTGTCAACTCTTGATTTTAATGGACCAAATACTGAGCATGAAATACGTGAACGAATCTATATTGGCCTATGAGCATGTACGTACTCGTGAGTATGATATTGAAAGAGAGTGCATTACTATCCATGTATTGAGAATACAGTGACAAAAAGAGAGAAAGCCAAAGAGAACTTTTTTGAATAAAAATGGAGTCAAATAATTATAATGGCGGCCGTGTCTCGCCATGTAAATATTCCTTTGGTTTATTTTAAATAACAACAAACGAGAAGTTCTCACTTTATATTTCAATGTGTAGTAAATGTAAAAAATAACAATTTAAAAGATACAATGTCAGTGAATTTTAAAAGTGAGTTGTAACCATAGTTCTTCAAGCTGTATAAAAATTTCGAATGAAAGTTGATTTAATTTCATTTTAAAATAGAAGAAAATTAATCATATTATTTGTATTTTTGAATAGTGATATTTTTTTATTTCTATCGGCAAATCAACAAAACTAAATGTGTCAAACATCCACTTATATGAAAAACAAAAAATTCAAGAGTGATTTTATGTGATGATTTTCTTTGATTTTTATGTTGTTATGGCTGAGTGATATGATGTCGTCAGATCAGATGCAACCATTTGTTTGGGCCATTTACTATTATGAATCCTATGAATTCAATTTGGTTTATCATTTTAATCGAAAAGTAACCGAAAGAAAATCTAGTGGATTAAGGGATAAACAAAAAATGAAAATAATTACTGCATATATACAAATTTTGGAGTGAGAAACATAACTAGATGCATATTTACTTTCTGTCTACACTTAATAAAACTCAGACTAAAAAAATTCAAACGCCCTACATAAAATGTACTTTTATCATTTATTTTCAGTAAATACGGTTTTGTTTTTTAATAAAAATGTTACTCTGGTTGTATTAAATATTGTAAAATATGAAAACTTAGATGAATTGTTTCACTTCTTCGTTATTTCACATAAACACTGGCCGTTTTTGTATAAAAAATACAAAGCTAATAATATATTAAATAAGAATATATATGAGAAAAGGAAGAAAAAATTGTGAATTTTAATAATTTTGACAATATAAAAGTAAAGATTTAATATTATTACGCTTTTACTTCACATTTACTTAATAATAATAATTCATCGATCATTATTGATAAGACATTCTTTCAAATTAAAATAATAAACGCCGGAAATTTAGATGTGTTTAAATACAAGTATAAATGACTGAGTGATTGAGTATGAATTGAATCCATATCGAATTTTTGTTTATTTTTCCCTTAAGCTTTCTATATAAATATATATATATATATTATTATTATTCTTACAGGTAATGATTATAGAGTATAAATGAGAAGACATCCTTAAATATATAAAAACGGAGTTGTGTTGTGAGTACTTCTTAAAATTCTGGAAACGAAAGAATAATTTATTACCATTTGGATAAAAAGTGGTGACAGTATAATTTATCTATTATTTTGTGTATTGACCTACGTTTATCCTTTGACGTTTAAATAATCAGTATCTAGAATAATTTCTTCGAAATCATGTATGTTTGACGAGTTTTTTTTTGTTTGAAAGGAAAGGATTACAAAGTTTCCACAAAAAGTTAAAAGGCATATTAAAACTTAAGGCTAAGGAAGCAAAGAAAAAAGAAAAGAAAAACCAATAATCATAATAATGTTATCGCAAGTTCACTGCACTTATTGGAGGAAAACAAGAAGAATTTAAAGTGAGTGGCAGATAAAGAACGTGCGAAAATGTCGCAGCGGGGAAAACGACAAAGTCGTTTGGACAACGATGATCCGCCGCCGACAAAAAAACGAAAAGGACGTCCTCCAGCCAATAAATCTAATTCAGCCAATTTAGGTAACGGCAATTCGATGCATCCTAATATAGAGAGTAAGTTTTGAATTTAATCGAAACTATTTGAATTTCACATGTTCATAATATTCTATATTATTATTCTATAGGTCCTCAAAACGGTTCAACGATGTCACCATCAACAACAACGTCATCTGCATGGCAAGCTCGATCATTAAGTGATCTAAAGTTATCGACTATATACAATCGTAGTGCAGCAGAGCCACCAGCTGAGTTATTTCGAAAAGATTTAATCAGTGCCATGAAATTACCAGATTCTGAGCCATTGGCCTCTGATGAATATTGGGTAATTACCTAGGGACAATTCACTTAAAAATTGCCTTTCTATTATTAAATAATTGTTATTGATTATTTGTCGACTATTTTAAATTAATTCTATTCTTTTCTTTTGTGATTCTCCCCTAGGTAATTACAGATCAATGGAAGCAAGAATGGGAACGCGGAGTTCAAGTTCCAGTTAGTCCTGATTCATTGCCAGAACCGACAGTACTAGCTAAGCAACAAGAATCTTTTTATACAGGTCGACAGGATTTCAAATTGTAAGTATTACTTTTTATAATATTTTGATAATTAATTACATGGTTGTTATAATGATAAATAAATTATTCGATGAAACATGACATTCGAATGAATGTGATGTAAATTTGTGTTAGATTTGTGCAAACTTCTTTATTCCCAAATCAAATGGAAGTTAGTCGATCTCTGGGGCAAATTAATTACATATACTCGTGAAAACATTTTATAAAGAGTCTCAAAAATACCGAAATATTTATCAAATTAATCTATAGATTCAAGAATCAATTGTTATCGAAAAATCATCCACTATCATTGTGCAAAAGTTCACAGTAAAATTACGGATCGAATTTTTGAGTAGATTCAGACATATTTTGCGTACGATATTTTTGGGTGTAGTTGTATCATCCAAAATAAATTGGACTCATTAATAAGACCTAATTGTTAAATTCAATGCAAGGCTACAGATGGCACACTTATTTAACTAAATCAAAGTATGGTTTTGGAGGGATTTTGATATTCAGCAATTGGCTGAACGACATTGTTTGGTTGAGGAACTTCTTTCAAACTGTCCATTAGTTTTCGTTTTCTCGGACATCGATGGCGTTGCCAAATGCCGATGGATGAATTTACAGCACATTCGCATGCTCCTACCATAACAAACACAACGCTTTCTACTATTCGTGAATGGCAGTTTATTCGCAAAATATAAACTTTTCCTATTTATATGTAAAATATACGAAATAAAGCATATTCATTCGCATCAACATCTATGAAAATTCGTATATTTCATTCGCAGCCATTCGCGAATGCCGCATACTGTTTGCGAGGTGCGACATATTGTCGTGATTTGAACATAAACATTCCTATGCAAAATATGTATGAAAAATTCGCTCGCGAAAGGCAACATTTGTATAGGTCGGAACCCCCTAGATTAAAAATAATTAAGTAATAAAAATTAAAATAGAATTCTACCATCTATACTGAATTTAAGATTTTAAAATAAATTATTCTATCAATTGATATCTGGGTTGGTAAATGTAGATTACTACCATGTAAATTAGATATTTTTCCCATGTAATCTACAAAAATTGTAGATCATTCAATTTTGGCTAGCAAATATATTAAAACCACCAAAAAATATATCAAAATGCCAAAAATTGAATAGAATTTTCATTGTAATTTTTATTGAGAATGTATCTATTGGACTTTTAACATAAAAAATCTTTTCAATAGAAACACATTTCATTCATTCACCAACTTCGGACAATGTTTTGAATGGCAATTTGACTCTAATTTTGAATTTTTGAATAATCTACAATGTATTGTAGAAAATTTAGAGTATACATATTCTACGTAAATGACATTTTTTTTTAAAATCGAGTAGATTTTGCAACCCAGATTGATATAAATCAAAGAGTAAGTAAGAGTTGTAGAGATTTTTTTTGTTTTCTCCTTAAAGCTTGATAGAATGATTCATAATTCTGTATAGAGATGATAAGATTCTATTTCATTCTAATTACTTTTGATTTTGCCATGTGTTTTTGCTAAGTTTGTCTTAATATGTGATTTAAACCATTTGTTCGGATTATATTTCACATTTTTGCTAAAAAATTCAAATCGGAATATTTGAGCTGTTTAATAACAAAAATTGCAAAAGCCATACCATAAATGATCGTCTTTTTCATTCGGTATGATTATCGATTTCATCTCTTATGAAATCACTTCTCTTTGCATATTAATTGTTTATTATTTTTTCTACTACAAATAATTCACTGAAATACAAACTTAAAACTTAACATTTTGTCGAATGTTTCCACATTATAAATTTAAAAAGTTATAATGTCCGATAGTCTGAATAATTCGCGGATGTTCTTATTCAATCGTCCTTAGATTCTTATCTTGATCGCTTTTTTAGTGCCGATACATTTTTGTACGGCTCATATGCATTCAAATATACAAGAAAAATAGAGAAAAATTCGCCGTAGCTGCAAATAAAGTTGAGAAATTCTCAGCCCGCGATAATTTCATGCAAATACGATTCATATGGAACACTGACGCCCCCACTCGTTAGCGGATATTTTAGAGTAAACAAAACGGCTGAAAGTAGGCAATTTTTATCATTATTTTCTTATTTGAACTCTTGTCTTCCTTTTTTCAAAGATTCTATCGTCGATTTCAGCAAAATGATAAGATTCTTGTAATACGTATCTATTTTATTTACAACCAATTAATTGAAATAAATGGTTTTTGTTATCACGTTGTCAATGAACGTATAAACAAACATATACTACATGTTGTTCAAAGCAAGAATTGCCCAAAAATTCAGTTGTAGAGATTTGTAAAAAGATGCCAGTTTCAATGGTGGTGGGACAGTTTTCAATCAATGATCCATACCTTTCACCTGCCAACACTACTTATTATGACTTATATAAAGGCAACCCGTTTTTTGGCGGTGTCTTATTATTATGAAACAATAGATTAGACATTACCCTCCGCTCGCAGAGCAGCTTATAGCAAAACCAGCTATTGTTATCAGCTCCGTCAAAAAGCGGCTGTTAATAGCCAGATATAGCCGGCTCGATGCGTATGGGAAACGTATGCCGTGTGCATATTATAAACAATAGAAGTTAGTATTATAGTCTACGTCAGAGGTGCGCACTGGGGGGGGGGGATTCAGGGTTTTACCCCCACCTAGCTTGGTCACGTCCGGATTTCCGGGTCTAACTTTACCCCCCTCAAAATTTTATCACGTCTGGATTTCCCTCCCCCAATGATTCAAGTACATTTTCTAAATACACATTTTTGTGTATATTCATTACAAAATTGCTTTGTTTTTTTCATTTTCTGGCTAGTTTTGTAAAAAACTATCATTTTTTGAGATAATCGAAAGTACGTCATATTATTGAAACTCATTCATTATCATTTTCGTTCTCAGTCAAATCGAAAGTCAATCTTAATACAAGCGGTTTCAG